CAGTCTTTAAATTCAAGCGTGATTGCATATGCTTGAGTCTCGATTGCTTGAGTGTCCTGTTTGCCAGAACCTTCGACTACATCACACAGTCTTCATCAGTGGATGGACTTGCTCAGTTGTCATTTAGTTGGCAACTGTTTTGGTAATGGAGTAATTATTTTTGTCATTTTTCATCAAAAATGCCAAACATTCTCCGCTTACAGCTGATTGTGAGGATTTGTGGCCTTTCTTTGTTTTATATTTTTAAAAACTTAATGGGTTTGGATTTTGGGGTGTTAGCAATTTTAAGAGGTAACCTTGCACTCTGGGAAATTGTTAGGGCCAATTTGAACCATTTTTTGACATTTTGTTGACCAAATGATTCAACAGATACTATTTCCAAGATCAAGAATGAACTTAACTCTATAGCAACACATAGTGTCCGATGGCCTCTGTGTCATTTAAATGTGTCATCTGCACAACATAAGATATAATTGGTCATGTCAGGATGGTTTCAGTTAGCTGATTAGCATGTTTAGCATGAGAGTTGACAAAACACTTCAACTAAGTTTTCAACCATGCTGCACACACCAGCAAACAGTTTTCTCATGTGTTATGAAGGTGGATCTGTTGACACGCAAACTCAGATGGTATTAAGATCTATTGTTATAATTTACTATGACTTATGAGTTTTAGGCCATTTACTATGAATAAAAATCATAGTAAATTGCCTTAATAATAATATGCAGTGACACCAGCAGATGACACATTTAAATGGCACAGTGGCCATTGGAGTTGATTACGCCTGTTTAATGAAGAGGTATATTACCCAAATTGTCTTCCCTCCACATACCTGGTCTGTTAAGGTGTTGTTTGTTGTGTGATGTTGCATGAAAAAGACACTGCGGATCAAGACACTACGCATCAACGGAACCGTATGCAGTGACTTGTCACCAGTTGGAGGTTTCTCTGCAGGTCACCAGCTGCAGGTGACAGCGCGGATTGGGACTCAAGCTGCTCTCTTTTTTTCTCCCGACATATCCATCACTCCACAGCCCCGTGCACCACGCAGGGTCCAGGATAACAGGCCGCATACAATTTTCAGCTGCATTACATCAGCAATAGGTTGTTTGAGGGAATCGGAGAGAGGAGAACAGGGGTCAGGCATTAGAGCGAGCAATCATTTGGCATTTGTTGGGCTACTGAATGTGACACAGACAGGGGGCCAACACCTCCAAATTAGCAGTCCAAGTTCAATTAAATAGTTTTTTTTAAAACCATAAATAAGTACTAAAACAGAAAAACGTAACGTAACGTAAGTCTTGGGGTCATATAAATTCTAAAAAGCTGTCAGGTCTTCCACCTGAAGAGGAGAGAATGAAGTGTAAAATGTCCCCTGGGTTGTGTCATTCCACCTTAAGTCTCTGGCCATGTGTCCTGTTTTATCATGACTGTATGTTGGAGATAAAGCCCCTGGAGTCTGTGTGAAGAGCTGTCAGCAACAAGCTGCTCGCTAAATGAACCCTTTCTTCACCTTGTCCCATTTCTTTTACAAACAGGTGACATAATGGAGAGACTGTGTAAAGCCACTTTAACAAATCAGGTATTTTCAGGGGAGTTTGCTGTCTTTACCCTGTTCATGTTTTCACTGCATATCTGTTTTTTTTACTGTTATATTACAGTTGTTCATTAAAAAAAACACAGAAAGGAAGAGTTTGACCATTAAAAAACATACTTATTTGTATGTAAATATATATATATATATAT